TGTTACTGGCAATATACCTTATATATTAAAAAATGTAGAGTGCTTGCTTTATAAAAAAAACATCAAGAGACAATTTGTATGAGTAAAATTAGTATGAATATGGTAAAAATCTTATAATATCGCGTTTGCTGTAAAAAGTAAGCTACTGTATAAATTACTTATCATGTCTCTGATGTGGCTACTTGAAATATTTCTTTATACAAAGCCATTGATGTGAGGAACAACGTATAGAGGAAATATTCACTTGAGCTTTTGCCCTATAAAGAGAGTACACTTATCCCTTTTGCTTGCTATATATAATGTAAAAAGAGATAAAATACTTGAAGCCACCCAAATAATCCTCCTCATGAACAAACGGCAGATTTTATCATTTTATGTCGAGATTGGGATTATGTAAAAATATTGAAAAGGATCAGGTTTTACATAGCCATAAATTCATGTAATACCTATTTCAAATGGAGTACGGACTCATCAAATACGGAAACACTTAATCGTGTACTTAATTGTACTGTCAACTGTAGTAAAATACGGTAATGTAATATATTCAAAATGATATATACCTATATTATGTGTTTATTTTCTTATACTTTTAATTAGAAGACTGGTAGCGCAGGTGCTAGTTTTGTAGCATCAGTAACATCATTACCATATTTTTTGGAGTTTTTCATTCTAAGTTTCCATGTAAACTATTTAAATCCTGTTGCACAAAAGGGAATTAAAAATGATATTGTAACGATACATATTTTTGCCGATACGATACCGATACCGATTTTAAACGAAAATAATCGGCGATACCGATACAGATACCGATATTGATGGCTTAAAGTACTTTATGTATATTAAACAAATTTGAAGGAAGTTAATAAGATATTGACACTAGGTCCTGAAGACTGAAGGAAAAATACTTAGATAATAAAAAATCAGTTATTAGAATGGAAAAAAAAAACGTTTATTAGTTTCAAATAAAATCAATCACATAGTTATTAATTAACCCTAGACACCTAACCTTTCGGCCTGCCAAAAACAGATAATGATATTAGTGTGGCGTACTCTTCAATTCGACGAAAGTTAGGTGTCTAGGGTTAAAAAAGATACATAAAGTCAGTAATTAAAGTTTACTTTTGGTAGATTTTTGTTAAGAAAACAAAGTTTATTTAAATTATCAGCAGATAATCTGTTACGCAAATCATTTTGTATCAGGCCTGCAGTTGAGAAGAGACGTTCTGAAGCAACTGAGCTCATTGGGTAAGACAAATATTTTTGTGCAAGCTTTTTTAATTTTGGATATTTATCTTCTTGGCGCCAATAGATCTTTGGATCTTGTTTGATTGGAATGTTTGGAAATCTTAAATAAGATTCTACTTCCTCTTGCTCAGGCTGAATAGACATGTTTGATAAAGGCTCGTCGTCTTCGGCTTCTTTTATCAAACTATCACAAGCAGACCAGACACCCGAGAAAATCTCATTTTGATTTTGTCGCGGCGCCTCTGTAGAATGAGGACTCTCTCTGTTTGTATTATTTGTAATTAATGAAATCAGCATTCTTCTCGCATTCATTCTTGTAGATTGCAGAGTGAACGTACGCAATTTATAGCGCGGATCTAGTGCTGTTGCTAAAATAAATGTTTCATCGTTCTCTAAATAATCAAATCTATCATTGATCCCAGCTATCAAATTCAGTGTAAAAGCATTATATTCAGGGCTATAAGCATTATCATCATCCATAGCCGTGGTGTTCTTGATACGATCTAAGACTTTTCGCAAACTGTTGATCAGCGGTATGGCGTCAGACAAACAAGCAGACTCTTGGCTAATGGACTTTGTTGCTTCTTCAAAATAAGTCAACGCTGAGACAACCTGTTCCATTAGTACCCACTCTTCTGTAGCCAATTCAGTTCTACATTTCACATGGGGTAAAGATGCTTGAACCGCAACTCGCTGCTCAAGAAGTCTCCTAAGCGCTTGAAGGGTAGAATCCCAGCGAGTGACGACATCCTGGATGAGCACATGACAAGGAACATTATGAGATTTTTGCATTTCAGTAAGGATTTTACGACCCGAAGTAGAATGACTGAAGTGACCAATTATAGACCTCGCCTTTGTAATCATTTCATTTATTTTCTCTTCTCCCGAAAACGCATCCTTCAGCACTAATTGTAAAGAGTGTGCCATACATCTGATACGTTCCACACCCAATTGTGTTACAGCAAGCCCCATATTCGGTGCATTATCTGCTACTACAGCTCGTACCTGTTCGTCAATAGCCCAATCTTGAAATAACTGACGTAAGTTTTCAGCTATGTTTTCACCGCTATGTCTTTCGCCTTCAAAAGGAAATACTGCTAGGCAGTAGTTCTTTAGCTCAAAATTGTTATTCACTCCATGAGCAGTCAGACTTATAAAGTCGTTCACGGATGAAGAAGCGTCGCTAGTCCATAAGTCAGTCGTTACAATTATGTGCGGAAGTTCTTGCAAAAGTTCTTTTATTTTCGTTTTCATACGACAGTAAATGTCTGGTATCACATTTTCAGAGATATGTGGACGGGAAACCATTTTGTATTTCGGGCACAACTGCTTAATGGTGCGTTGAAACCCCTGTTTATTTACTATATCGAACGGCTCCATATCTACACATATTTGTTCAGCTATCGTTTGCGTGATCGCTTTTGCTCTGGGGTCATCAGTATCGTACATAACATTTTTGTCTAGAATGTGTTCCAAAGTAGCTTGTTTTTTGAGTGGCGGACCGGCCTCAGTCGTCGAGGTAGATGGGGTGTCGTTTTTCAACTCCTTTTCATGATAACGCTTCACGTGTGTCCACATGTTAGATGTCGTAAAGCCCTTCGATGAAACTGCCTTACTACCACGAGAAACGCTGACATTGCAGTATAAACAAGTTGCTTTTGTATCATCATCCTGTTTTATTTGAAAATGATTCCAGATGGAACTTGTACGTTTTAATGGCGTTGCCATTTTCTATTATATAAATTAAAACACCGTAACAGTCCTCACTAGTCAGTGTCAATAATTAAACAGAATGAATTACAAAATAAAAGCGGCGACGTAACGTAAATTGAAACACGACATTTCTCAACCAAAGCTTAGCAAGCACTGGGGCCGGGCCGGGGGACATTGTGTTGGCCGGCCCAAGCGACCGGTAAGACGACGCGACGCTAAGAGCGGCAACGTCGCACGCGTCGTTCGTTTCGCGCGCTTTTCGAACTGGTTGATATCGGCCGTGTTGTATCGGCGTTGCCGATATATCGGCCTGCCGATTATATCGGCCGATATATCGGTATCGGTATCGGTTAGTTTTAAGCGACATTACCCATACAAATTTTCTAATTTAGAGTGTAAAGTTGTCATTGAACTTTATTCAAATTTAAACGCAACTTAAACCCTCAATGTGACCTCTACGATATTGTTTTAATCCTATAAAATGAATTATTGGTTTAGGGATATTGCGTTCCTTCTTCCTACCAATATGCGTTCTATAATAACTATCAAAATGTTTAGACATATACGTTACTTACTCAACTGAACAAATAAGTTATGTCATAGCTAAACCTCCTAAAGACAAATAGAAATTAAAAGTGTACTTGTTATGATTTTATTATAAAATGTATGATAAAAATTGCATAACAATCACACTGATTTAGGATCTTTAGAAGCATTCGTCGCTTCTAATTTGTATATTATAAAATTATAATTATTTTTTGTGTTTTAACGGTTCAAAAGTTCATAGCGCTTAAGTTACTAAAATATACTAAGTTTAAACATTTTTTCCACTTCCGCTCGTTCAGGATGTCTTCTGGCTGTTAAGAAGAACGAGCAAGAAACTCACCATTTCTAATGGAAGTAACGACATTCACAAAACATGTCATTACCAGATCATTACATTGTAAATAGTAATGATAACATAACAATTTAATAATGGAAACAAGAAGAAATCACTTATCCAGTTGCGGGACTCTCTTAAGCATTCTTACCTTAATAAGCTTTAATAATAGTGAATTTAAACTCCATGATTCTTGTATCTAAATGTTGTATTTTGCTTGGGACCTTATTGTACAAGCGCACACAAAGAACCTTGAATAAATTATTAACTTTTTGCAGTCTAGTGACAGGCACCGCAAATTTATTTTTATTACTCTTGAAATTAATTAAAATTATGTACATCATTTTTTATAGAAAATAAACTATTTTTTTTACGAACGTACATTCTCAAATATATACTGAGAAGCAATAGTCATTATGTCTATTTCTTTAAATTTTTCCCTTAAAGTGTCCCTAATTTAAGATTATAAATTAATTTTATTAACTCTTTTGTGAAGCACAAAAACCGTTTGTATGTCGGCAGCATTTCCCCACAGGAAGATTCTATACGACATTACACTATGAAAGTAACTAAACTATACTAATCTGGCAGTATCTATATTGAGATGCGATTATTACGTAAACTAGCAGATCAGCCCTACGATTCTGTAAAAATCCACACCCGAATTCGAATTCACTCAGGTGTACGAATGCACTTCAAAAAACGGCATCCGCTCAATTTTGAATTGGTAATAACGTTTCGTGGCATAAGTGAAGTGAGTTTCGAAATAACATAGGAATAGTGTAGCATAGACTTCGCACATTCGCGGAACATTTTACTCTTCTGACACAACTGTGACAAGGAGTTGTCATTCGCTCGAAATTGTTGCTTCGTATAACTTTTACCAGAAAAATAATTGATATTCTTAAAGTAATCGTGCTGTGTTGTACCTAATTGAAAACTGTATTAATTCCCTAGCAATAGTCACATCTGAGACGCGTATATTTAATCAATTTTGTTTTGTATTTTTATCTAAAAAATTGAGCAATATATATATTTTTTCAATTAATGTCGTGAATTTACACATAAGTGAATTCGAATTGAGGTCTGGTTTTTGAAAGAATCGCAGGGCAGCAGACCAAATAAGCCCCGATAGTTAAGCAATATCTAATATTGTTGACAGATGCGCTAAGAGGTCATTGTAAGCAACAAGAGGATCTACTGCAAAGGTGTTCAATGGCGTTACCGGTGCTCAGTTCAAGAGAAATATCCTTCGCTCTCACTCAAGATGAACTGGACAAAAGTTGCGTGTAAGTGTATTTTATTGACCGATATTAAAACAAGGAGGTTCTCAGTTTGACCTGTATGTATGGTATATATGTTTGTGCGCTAGTATCTCGCATTTGGGTAAACCGATTTTGATTTTTAGCATAGCATTGGGTATATTAACCGACAAAAAAGTTGAGGTTCGCACTTTAAGACGTGTTGTATATATTGATCTGCGGTTATCTCGCGTTTGGCTGAACCGATTTTGGCGTGGTTATTGATATTATATAAAAATATCAATATCACTAAAAAGCATGAAATAAAAATTAAAGAAATACAACCGGCTTCAAATTAAAAAAGTGAAATATAATACTTATCTCCTATCATGTAATCGATAGCCGACACCCAACTTTAATCGCTAGTAGCTCGACATAATATTTTTAGTCACCCACCCTATTACTGATCTTTAGGAAAATTGCTTCACAACAACGATCGCGGGCGTGGGCGCTTTTCCACTATACCACTGAGCTACTGATATTGATACACTCGATAATTATTGAAGTGATTAAAAAAATAAATCTAACATAAAGCCGCATAACAGCGAGAAACATATGCATATGCATTTTATTAGGGCAATTTTTAACTCAAATGGTACATGATGTCTCTTATAGGTAGTACTGAAAGTATTATTTTATTGAGACTCTTATACTACGTTAGTGCCGACTTTGACGCTGAGTTCGACGCTGTTTTTACAAAAAAACACAACTTATTCATTACGCAACAAGTCTATATAAAAACCTTGTAAGCAGTTCCCTAGAGAACTAAAACGTCAAGACTTAACTTTATCATAATGTTTTTTTTACATATTTTTCTAGAATATTATCTTATTATTTTAAGGGCAATATTAACTGAATATCTTATGCTAGTCCAAAAGATTTATTACGAAGTTGTAAGAGATCAGAAAATCACATTGAAAAACTTGTTTGATGTTAAATATAAACGCCAAGAACTTACATTGTTGACAACGTAAGACAATGTGTATAATAATAATCTATTAAAAAGGCAGGTTTATTGTGTATGACACAAATAACTCATATCATTGACTATACGTCAGATTATACAGAAGAGGCTCGGTGTCATAGTGGCTAAGGGCCGCGACCAGCGTATACGTTGTTGTTAAGCAACTTTCGCAATGGTTGGGATGGGTGACCGAAAAATTATTGTTTCGAGCTACCACGTGCTTCAGAAGGCATGTTAAGCCGTTGGTCCCGGTTGCATTTGCAATTATTAATACCCCCCCAATCTGCATTGAGTCAGCGTTGAGGGTTATGGCCCATCCTCCTTAACCATCTTTAAGGAAAGCCTGAGTCCCTGCAATGGGGACGTAACAGGGCTGATGATTGTACAATTTTCAACTAGATCTTAATAATTAATGTATTGGTTTCAAAACCGATATCGTACCACTACTACTATTTTATATGGTCTTAATATAATCAGACGGAAAAGATTTCGGTTAAAAAGAATGTGAGCATTAACTTATTTAGCAACTTTTACACAAGTACTATCTGCAAGATTATTATGTGCACCACCCGCAAACTCATAACTGAACAATGCACAGGTGCACAAGCTACAAGAACCAAACACCACCAAGTATTACTCCAACATGTTTCATGGTGCATCTTTAGACGTTAGATCGTACAGTGCTCTTACTGACGAACGAAGGGAAAGGCTTTCCATTTTTCCGCATCCCCGCCAAATTTTACGCGGTCCGCGAAGTTATATGGGACTTACGTAAACCTCCCTATAACGGTAAGTTAAAGGCAGATGCTTTCCCATTAAAAAACCCTCTATACTTTCTTCTATATTGAAATAATTCACGAAGTTGGTCTCGTCCTCACATCGTCCATCACCAAAACTGTAGCTACTGTAGGAAGACTCTGCTAGAAGTCAGTTTTTAGTCCAGTTTATAGTTGTCTTCAAAATTCTGTTCTGTCACGAATCGCAAATTAATATTTTTACAAGAAATAAACGAGTATTTAAAACGAGTTTGGTTGTAGTGTTTAAGTGATGGCAATGAATGAATAACAAGCTCACTTTGCTTTTTCAAGTAATTAGTAATCACTGTAATAATACCTATGTAAACTTTTTTAAATTACAATGTTTTTCTTTTTATATATTATAACACCAATGTACTAAGTAACAAGCCTAATAGCAGGCGTTGAACAAATATCTTGCCGATGCTAACTGGACGTGAAAGTTTATTAAATATAGTAATTATTCAATTATTTGAAATTGAGGCAACCATTGTTACAAGAAATTTAAATTAGAGTTTTGACTTAAAGAAAACATCACAGTTATTCTTGATGATTTATATTATTTTGAATACAAACAAATTGATCACATAATTGATTTTGCTAATTGATCAATTAAAACGTTATAGATTCTCTCCAATATTTATGAATCTTAAGATTTACGGAATGAATAATTGTTTTTCGAAGGAGCTTTTCAATGTCAGTACAGACTGATTAATTTATCGGAAAGGACGAAAGCTAATACTTTTATGATTTCAATCAGAAAAGTAATAAAGCGGATTATTGTTAACAATATTGTTATTAGATTGTTAGTTGTTGTGATGGGAACAAAATTTTATTGTTCATTTCTGTAATATACTTCGATCTGTAAAATAACGCGATTTCATCCAAGACACGCGATGCACGTTCAAATTTTTTCATTTTCTCTAAGGTTGAATCGAATAAAAACATATTATCGTATGTTGTTTTCAATTTAAAATTTAGAGTAATAGGTATTTCAGGGATTGCTACCTTATTTTTATAGCCCCCAATATTTCGACGCTATTGTAAGTATATTGATCACTCTGATTTTTGCGGTCTTGGAGTCATATATTTATCGGGGATTCAATAAAATTAAGGCACTTACAATCCTGTAAAAAAAAAACCATCACCTACTGTAAAAAGAGCTCTAAGAACATTCATCTTTATAAGTTGGATTGAGATTCCATCATCAAACACTATACTTATTTAATTATAATATATAATGTATTATAAAAGTTACCATTCTAATCTAATAAAAATCAAGGAAACATATAATTACCGAAAATCATTTCACAACCATTCGTTTATTAATATGATCTTTTCTAATACTGACATAACAATCACAAGCAATGGTTTCTTATGAAAAACACCTGAAACATGTGGATTTGTAATGAAGAGGTTGTTATATATGTAAATCACAGTGTGCCCATTTGTTTCGCTCGCAGGGTTTGCTAGAACTTCAAAGAAGTTGAGACGCTAAAACTTCCACGTTGCTTCCTCACAAAGTTAGTTTGCGTAAACGGGCGTTTTGATCTGAATAACTGTAAATTGTTGTGTGTGTTTTAGCCAACTCGAGGAACGATCCGCTGGATAAGATTAAATCAGCTAGGCATAACTATCAGGCAACTTTGCAGCGGAGGATGGAACAGCAAAGTTTTGATATATTTGTTTGTGTTTTGACTGGGCTGTATCTTGGGAGTTATAATACTGTTTAGTGCTGAATTGTATCTTGATACAGTTTAGGATTATTGTTTTTTTGTGGTCACATAACAAAGAGGTATTATCGTATTAATCAGTCTAGATAAAGAATTCAAGTAAGAATCAACTCTGATTTATGATTGACTTTTATATAAAGGAGGTTCTCGATTTAGATATATACAATAACGTTATAGTATAAATATTAGCAATGGTTGTAAGGTATATTTTGCTATGATTATATTTTGAATGCCGTGTTTAATAAATAAATATTTTACACTATAAAATGATTCAAGAAGTTGCTTTTTAAAGTTAGCTTTTGCTTAAATGGACAAATTAAACGAGTCAAAACTCGATAGGGTTATGTAATTCACTAAGTTGTCATGGCCACGTTCCAGTTCTATCAGCAAATCATCTCTATTCAGTAATGCATTTTTAAGTTACCCAATGATCGTTTTTAAAGGCAAACTCGAGAAACGCCTTGTCTAAACCCAATATCACTTTTATCGGGTGCGCCTATACGATATCTCACTCTTGACCCGACCGACTCTCGAGTGACATTTGGGTGTAGACAGTGTTTCTCGAGTTTGTCTGCACGTGTAGAAGAGAAGTGCGGTTCCTACCTTGAAATTTATGACATTTTGTTGGTCCTTCGAGCTGGATCGAGAGGATGTATAAGATGTAGTTAGTCACTGTCGGAGAGATCGTAGAAAAAGTATTTAATACTCAGTCATCCACATGCTATACATGTTTACTACTATATTTTAGTAGTATAGATGCAAATGCACTTCTCTGATGATAATCCAGGCGGCGCCCATGGGTGTAACTATACCTAAGAAAAATTATGTTCCATATTAGTCTAGACACAAACTAGTAACTTTTGCTATCCACGTACGTGCCCGGGTACGATTGAAGCAAAATCGATTTAATATTAAGTCTCATATGTTTCATCTTAAAGTATTTCTCATCTTTATATAGCTTTTGTATGTGTAGGGTCGATATAAATACACAATTTGCGTGATCTAGCGTGATAAAATTACAGATAAGCAAAACTAAGATTAAACTTTTTTTTAGAAAACTATTTGTAATTAAAAATCAATCTAATTTGTCTTTAAATGACGCGATATAATAGTTTAGAGATTTAAGCAAATAAAACCTATTCCAAAAGGTTCAGAAGGATTTATTTCATTGAAGCTCTATGACGTGGCGCTGCTGAGCCATCAATTTATATTGTAGTTATTTATACTGTAGGTACCTATTCAAATTCCAGGGGCCAATGCTGATAAGCATTGACTGAGTAAAGGTAAAGTCTTTAATTAGTACAAGCAGAATTCCCGTGACTTCACCGGTGTATGTGAAAGAATAATATCGCTGTAGGTATTCAAAATTCCAGAGCCAATTGAACGTGTGTAATCTATCTTTCTCACCCGCTTCTGTAAAATAATAAAATCGGTCCACTAGCTTCGGAGCCTATTCAAAGCAAACAAACAAACAATCAAATCTTACCTCTCTACAAATTTATATGATTCATATTTGGCATGTTTAAATATAGCTTTTTATTATAATTACCGAAACTGCGCCTTCCAGAAAGATGTTACGTATGGCTTAATTTAGTGCTCTTGTATGTGGCAAATGGCACTTTGAATAGTTTTAGTACTTCATGAGAGCAGTGACCAACTTTGTTCAGGGTAATAGGGTATTAACGGGACGTGGTAAATACATGATTGTGGGTCACTACTTTTACTTATTACGTGACTAGTGAACCATTCTTACAGAACACACGCACGCGCGTGTGTAATGTAACGCGAGTGCGCCCGCGTACACAAAAAATACTAACTTTTTACTGGTTTTTATTTATTTATTTATTAACACATCATTGTACAACACACTATAGATATAAATAGAACAACACAAATATGAAAATCTTAATTTTACAATAGGCGGCCTTATCGCTTAACAGCGATTTCTTCTGGTTTTGTACAAAGAAGTAATGTTATTATTGGTATTATCTTTCAAACCCACGACCTTTCATCAAAAGAATTAAAATTTTACGTTTAAAAATTGTGAACTTTAAGGGTAAATTCGTATAAATTCATGTATTGACTGTGACAACTCGCTTAGAAGTAATAAAGTTTTCTTATTATTATTCATATTTGATCTACTTTGCGTTTACAATTTTATGTTGGGAAATATTCTTAATTAATAACTTAAAAAATCCACTCTGTCACTGATAATATGAAATGGGATTCGAACCCACGAATTTTCGCAATCCAGGCATCTGCTTTAATCACTGAGCTTCCGAGGACTTAACGGGACTGATGAAACTTTCAAGCGCTTGTTACTTTTTCTCTACTACTCAGCGTATTTTTATCAATCTTCAGGAAATTTACCTACCAAAAAAAAACTACGATTTATAAGGATTAAAATGAATTTGTCTTTAGTATTACTAATATTGACTGTAAAGAATATGAATATAAAACAAAGACACTTCCCGCTGTCTACGCGCTTAGATTTTTTAAATTGCATAACGAATTTTAAATAGTTATGTATATAATATTGTATGTATCTTAAAGTATGTATAATTATTAATTAGCTTATCTAGCTTAGTCTATTTTTGTGGTTATTTTGCTTGTAATTGTGCTCCTCTGACCCCGTATTCTTCTCCATATTACCTTTAGGTTGACTGGCAGAAAATGCCTCAGGCATTAAGTCCGCCTATGTACATTTGTGCATAATGAATAAATAAATATTAATGCGGTTTTTTTTAAATTGCGAGTGTTCCAAGAGAAAAGTTTGTACCTATGTATAATACATGAAAGCTAGTTTATCATAGATGTACCCAAAATGATCTAAATCTAATAATACGATTTAACCTTAATACATGACTGGAAGAGATCTTCCAATTCAGGAACTTTTTCTAACTATTAGATCTGTCGACTGAGCACTTTTCCGTTGACTGTTTATTCGTGTTGCAAAACAAAGAGAATTTAAACACTTATCTGGAAATAGGATATGTCTGGTACTTTTTCATTATCCGGCTTTTCATATCAACCTTATTTAAATTTTAAACTTATTTATGATAAGTGTTTTTCATTTAACAGTTTTCATACTTAATTAATAATTAACTATATTTTCGCGTACAGATTGAATAAATCAGCATCGAAAAATGGATAATTTTGTTACGAACTCTTAAGACGGTTCATAGTGTAATTATTTTTCTGTGACATAAATTATTAAATTATAGAAAATTACAAACATTATGCAATGCAAAATTTATTATTTCATTGATAAATTCATGACGACCAAATCTTAATCTTGTAACAAACGAGTTAGCAGGATCTGGAACGTCTTAAATATTCTTTATTTTAAAAATAACGTTTCAGGCACCAATCTGGCATTTTTTCAAGATTTAAATTAAATCGAGCTACATTCACTACAATCTACCTTTTTTGTTACAGTGAACTGCGTTCCGGTATAAAATGCATAGACAACTACACAAAAGTGTGTATGGAGAAACACGAGCAAGTGGTCTTTAGGAGAATTTACTCGGGCGTCACAGATGTAGTACAAGATTTGTGTACTAGAGGGATGTATCAAGACGAATATTTGAAGCATGCAAATTGTGTTAAAAACGTTAGACCAGATTACGAGCAATGTAGTAAGAAGTACGAAGTCACTCTCACTACGTTGAGTAATCATCAGAAAAATGAGCAATATCAGACGGATGACGCCGTTGAAACCAACCAAGAAGATTATTTAAGGACAGTTTGCTGGTATGTATTTATTATTTTATATAAATAAAAAATGATTTTTTATGGATTATTAAAAAAATCAATGCATACAATTTATGATAATATGGAAAAGGTGCAACTCACATTGCATTTATATAGCACTTTTCCTTATACTAATAACTAAAATTCAGTACGGAAAAGCTCGAGTGATATCTGAAAATATATCGTTGGACCACCAGTTCGGTTAAAATAGATAAATAATTTATATTAATATCAATTACTCAGTCAACATTTCATTAATTATTTATTCGAAAACTGTCATTGTCCATTATAAAATTAGAATAATAAAGCCCGTTATTGTCTACGACTAATCAATATTCAGACGAGTAATTAGTATTACAAAAGGTTGGTTCGATTTGCTGAATATTTTATTAACAAGTACTATTCAATATTCAAGACTTAGCTCGGGTCTTTTGAGTACCGCACTCCACAGTCGTCAATGAATTCCTGCTCTGACAGTTTAATTTGTGGATCTCGGATTAAGAAGGCCCTTGCTTAAGATATTCGCACGTTCGAATAATATTAAATCTATTTATATAAGATATCGTAATCACTATGTCAGTTGAAATGGTGTGTTGAATTTTACCAGTAAAAAATTATATAAAATATTCTTATTAATTAATGCCAAAATTATGGTAGACGATTCGTTAATAAAAGCTTTCTTTAAAAATTTGCATTTAAGTGAACGGCTGATTGAGCTACCGTTTATTCGTTTCAATAAACGACTGCCTCTTTACTATTACTCTCTATTCGGCGTTTTCCTGATCCAAGATTCATTTCTCTCGCGTTTACGCCATTTAGAATCTGTTTAAGATTCCGCTTGGATTCCGTTTGAAATTAGAAGCACTTTAAGCTTTTCGATTTGCTAATGATTCGACTAACGAACGTTTTCTAAACGAATAATATTTTAACGAATAATTATTAAAATTATTTTAATAGATTTAGTGAATTGGTCGCTGATATAAATAATTAATTTGGAGTATAATGTGATATTAGTGTTGCAGGTACATTTTAGTTTCTATATAAGATTGTGACTGTTCATTTAGGTTTTTAGGGTTCCGTTCATGAAGGGAAGGGTCCGCGTGTCCATCAGACCGCGATGGCTAGACAGTTCAAATTCACAGATGATGTATTTATATATTTCTGTTGTTGCTATAACAATAAAAATAAACGTTTAAGGGGGACAAAAACTGTGATTTTTTTCCTATGTTTTATAGATATTTGTACGCGGTTATACGTGCGTCTGTCCCGCATTTAGCCGGTTTTTTTAATGTTTCTAAAGTGGACTTGAGAAACTCAATAGAGCTTTAGCCACTTCAATGAATTTTAGAAGAAAAAGAATTCATGCGAACATAATCAAAATAAGATTTAATATACGTGTTACAGCAAAAACTTTAAATGCATTTTGACAAAAATTATGCGGTCTAACGAGTATGAAATTTGGCGCAGTAAAGTTTATATGGAGAAGAAGTGTAAAAAACTTCTTTGTTTATTATGACAAACGCAAGAGATATTATATTAATATTTCTTGCGTTTGTCATTTTTGTTAAATAATGTCAAAAATCATAAAGAAGCAAAGTATCTATACTAATAATAAATCTAAAGAGTTTGTTTGGTTCGAGTTTATTTGGATCTCAGAAAATACTGGTTCGAAAACAATTGGGCCGATTTGAAAAAATCTTTCACCTACTAGAAGCTATATCATACATAGGTGATATAAGCTATAAATTACATGGGCATAGTCGCAAGAAACTAGCTTGTTGTGTATAAACTGGTTGTGCAGATTTGTCTGCTTTATAAAAAAATTACGGTTGAATTTATAGTAGCTTACATAATATTAAAATCAATATATATATAATACAATCAAGAAATAAACTGTCAATTTAATGCACTTGATTTTAAACCTTATTGCATTGTAGGTAGAACCGTTTTGGAAGGCCTAACTCTGTTTCTTCGAAAACGAAACTTCCTGTATTTTCGAAATGCTAATATTCAGAAACGCTATATTAAGAAACGCATTTTTCCAACATGCAACGGAGGTAAGACTTAATCCAGAGGTAGGATTGCACATATAATCTTCACGGATATGGTTAAACAGAAAAATAAGAATATTTTAAAATTTCGTTCGTGGATATACAGAATAAGCCCTCTGTTCATAAACTCGAACAATATTAATGCTGCAACGAAAACAAACTGGGGAGGCAGTTTTTAGTTGTAGTTAAATAAAACTATTTTTGTGTAATATTCAAATCAAACTTTGGTGCACTCCTAGTAATTCATAGTCGACACTTTAAAAACATTTCGTTGTTTTAAAAATTAAATTTGCTTTGTTAAAGTTCGGGTCAGTTTTCTAGTTGAAAATATTCATGTGCACTATCACAGGATTCATACATCGCTGCTCATGCTCTGACACAATGGGGAAATGAATAAAAAAAACCATTGCCATTTTCTGCATAAAAATTCTGGGATGTGAATTGTACTTTATGACAGTTGTGTTATACTTGGCATGCTAAATAATGATAATAGTTTATTTGATATTAAGTATTGTATTTATGATTTAATTCGCAAAAAAATATTTTTCCAGTATACCATTGTGAATTCAAAATTGATCAAATATTAAAATTTGAACAAATTTTCATTTTTATGTTTAAATATTTGTTAAAATTATTTATTTATTTTGGCTGTTTGGGTGGTTTGCCTGAAAATTGATGAAAACACTTTGAAGTAGCGAAAAGTAACAAGTGCTTGAACGATTCATCAGTCCTGTTGGGTCCTAGATAGCTCAGCTCAGCTCAGCCCGGATTGTGAAAAGTCACGGGTTCGCGTCCCACCTCAGAGTGCCAGGGACAAAGTGATTTTTTCAAGCATTTTTCATTAAGAAAATTATTTAAACAGTTATCGCAATTTTAAATTAGTTAGATCATTCATAGTTTCCATTATTGAGATATACTAGATTGTAACGTTATAACATTAGTAAATCGTACACCAGAGAAAATTATCACAACATTAAAGAGTTTAATTATATATGTGTTTTGATCAAGTGACTAATAGGACATTAAAAAAAGCCCACGCAGTATAAAAATTTTAATCAAGTAAATTTCAATATTATTATATGCATTGTGAATACAAAATTTCGCACCCGGGTTGAGGGGGTGGGGGAAGTCTAGGTCCAAAAGTATCTACTGCCATCAGACCAGGCAATATTTTATTTTCATAATAATATCAAAATAATTGCTTTCATTTTCTGAGCCATTGTAATTTTATTAAAGCCTTGTTACGCACAATCACTCACTCCTACCGCGTTTTACTGTTAGATGGTAAAGTAGTCTTTATAAACTCATGTATCTTTATTGCAAAACCAGTCAACAAACATTTTTAACGAAAGTTTTATGAAAATATTGTGTTCCAAAAAAGAGCACGTAGTTCAGATTTTTGTGTTACCTTTTAATTGATGGTGTTTGTTAAACTTTCCTTTCTTATCTCGTGTAACTTTTGTTTTCCACGCAGACATACAAGTTTTATTTCGTTTTAAGTGATTAAGTCGATAACAGTTTTTCGAAACTTTTAACAGGAGGAAAGAACTGTTACAGAATATTCTTCGCCATTCGAAAAGTACGGAGTAAAAATACTGTTTTTTTATTATTTATAAAATTTCATATTAGACTTTTTTACAACAATACTACTCGCGTGAAACAATAAAGTGACTGATGTGGAGGTTATGTATAATACATTAAGGCTTCTTACTTGTATCAGTAAAAAAAGTCCAGAACGTGTTGTAGGTAAAAAATGTGGGACGATTCAAAAGTACTCAATTATGTATATTTGAATATTTTGACTCGGACTTTTAAAATTAAGTAAACAAATATTCACTTTCTTGTCGCCATTTTTGTGCGAACTCGATTTAGTTTTTTTATTACTCACTTCTCGTTTGGAACAGGAAATTATTTTTTCCGTTCACTGACTAGAGGTGTCTAGTCAGTGAACGGAAAAAATAATTTATTGTAGCTGTAGTACAGATAGAAATAGGTTTTCAAATATAGAGCACAATATAGTTATTGTAATACATAGTTTTCTCATCTCTACTGTCGTTTGTTTATCGAAATCGCAGTTGATCTCATGCAGAGTTGATTCCATTTCGCGTTGGAACTATTCGCAATTGGTTCCATTCTCCGTTGGCCCGTCGCGGTTATTGCGAATTGTTATTATTGGGACAAATTTGAACTGTACTAACTGTAGTATCTATCCAAATTCGTTCCACTAACTATTTGTATATTTCTACCCTTGAATACGTTGAAATCCGACTATATATAAGAATTGCGGACATAATTATTAGGTCCTTACATATGAAATTGGTGTTTGGTATGGAAGGAACAAAAAGTCGAATATTTTTTAATATAATATATTTATTTAATGAAAGTATAACATATTGTTATCTATGCACTTTTGCCATCTCATAAGTAGTCCATTGATCTCCTTACTAGAAAAACCATTCGGACGGGAAATCAATAAAATTTTTGAAGGCGATTTGCACTGCCCCATCGAAGTTGATTTTTTTCCCTTGCAAAAAGTTATCCAAATCTCGAAAACAATGGTCATTTGTTGGATCAAGGTCCGGAGAGTACGGTAGATGTCTTAGAAGCTCTTCTAATTTGGTAGCCGTCTGTTGTGCAGTGTGTGATCTAGCGTTGTCGTGAAGTAGCAGTGGCGTAGAGCGATTGACCAGCCTCGGTTGTTTATCAGCTAGTTTATCCAGCGTGATTTTCATTTGCTGACAATAGATCGTCTGACCAGATTTGAGAAAACTGTTATTGGCCAGTACGACAAAACGCCAATTTCATATGTAAGGACCTAATATTAGTATGGGTTAAATTTTGGAAATTGAAGACCCACTTCCTACCGGTTTTCATTTTAGCTAAAATTTTGCATGAATATATAACTTAAATGACAATGCAAAATAGATATGGAATAGCGTTGATCTGATTATGGAGTTAGAAGGAAGTTATAAGACCTTTGTTATTAAACGAATTAACATCAATTTGGGTCCTTTGATTTGACTTCACAAAAATTTTAGTCTAAGATAATATTCATTCAAAATAGCTTTGTGCACTTCTTCGCCATACGAATTTTAACTGTGCCTAAAATATTTGTTCGTCGGTGTGATTTTTGCAAAACGGGATAAAATGTTTTTGTTATGGTACCAATATTTGATATAAATTCTGTAAAGAAATTCGTACTTTAAGGTTATTGAACTCGGCAATCATCCATGTTAAATTTTACCGGATCTCTCAATCAATTTAATATCGGTAACAATATCCTTTTAAAGAAACTATTTCTATAAAATTGATTGTACGTATTGCCGCCAGGACGAGAAAAGCTCAAATGCGATGGTCAGATTTAGAGATTTTTTTGTATTTAGCTACAAATATACAATTTGTTCGTCTGCGACATTATCGACTTGACGGGAATAAGTAGAGTTTCCACTAATCCTGTATATTAGGACCGCATATATGTGGAATTTGAACACTTAGGTAATCAGAGTAGAATAAACCATATTTTGCCATAAAGTAAAATTGATTGTTTAAGATATTAAAGACACCGGAACGTGAGCTTGACTTTAAGACCAAAGTAAAATTTGTGAAAAGTTGAAATATTAATTTACGAGTACATTGAGCTTATTTTACAAGTTCGTCTAGTTGCATAAACATCCATTAAGGTTTAATACAGACTTTAAGCTCTAATGAATGTGAAAATCGTATCTTTAAATTTGCTTTAAACTCGTGACAGTTTCAACTGACGTTTGCGCAACTGGGTGCTTAATAGATATATTTTAATTATTATCTTGTAAATATTTTTCAATTATATAATTAATATTCTTTTTCAATTAAACAGTTATTATTGACTGATAACTTTCATGTAAATTATTATAGAACTTTTTCTTTCACAGTTCTTTCCAAGAATACCTGTTATGTTCTGAGCAGACTGTTCAGAGGTCTTGTGGAGATGAGGCCGCCTTATTCACCAGTGCATTCTTGAAGCGTATGGCATCCAACATTATAAAGGTAAAGTTTGTAAAATGTAAATATGAAATAAATAAATAGGGTGAAATTTTATTAAGTAAAGTATGTCAGTTATTATTATTATACATCTGCTAATGATAACGCAAAAATTGCATCTAGATAGAATCTCAACGATTTGCATTTTGCCATTGTAATATCATCAGCCTAAAGTCCAATATTACTGTGAGTCTGTCACCATTGATGTGTGAGGAAGACATTGAACTAAATTTATATTAGACTTAAGGTAGATAATACAATGGTAAAAGTACTTGGGATTTTATTGAGATGCATTAGCAATTGGCATGCAGTGCGCGTTGATGGATAATAATGACTGTGGATGCGGAAGAACAGTAGAGAAGAGTAGCAGTAAATAAATTTTTGGTCACACATCCGATGATAAACCATTGCGAAAGTTGCTTAATCTTCACAATCGCAATAGATATGTCAGTATATCATGTAACAAAAAAGTTTGTTTATCTAAAAGGTTTATTGGTACGTTGACTGTTCTTACGAGTATCTTTTGACGATCACCGTGGCAGAGAGACTCGCATGGTTTCAAGGAATCTCGCCACCTTTAAGTTTCCGGATTCGATTACCCACTTTCCAGTTTCCGTTTGAGCTGAAACTTGAAAAATACCTTAAGTTCTGATGATAATATAATAATTTATAATCGGTATTTTTATTTATCCAAAATGACCGCCGTAACATAAAGGTGGCGTGTATATTTCTGAACAACCCATCCAATATGGCTTAACTGGTAGAATACAGTCCACTACATGAAATCTTGTTTTTATATTTTATTTTTATGTTGATGCTTGTTGATTTATTTATCTTTTGAACTGGTGTTATCATTCAAATGTCTTAGTATTTAATATTTAAAGCCGTTTAATGATATCATAAGTTTGTAAAATCCATTAAACTTTTACGTAAACATAACGTAATTGTAAATCACAAACGGTAAAAGTTAAAAATAACTGCGAACGTGCCTTTTCATTGACACAAGAGAGTTTTTGATGAGAGCCAACGGTCTATTGTTTTAAATTGGATTATTCTCGTAATTATTGAACCTTTTCATTTACAGAACTTCTGTTTGGAGTACCGAGGGCACGAATGCGGGCTCCCCGATAGCGCTGGTGATGTAGGGAATGGTATTGTGATTGTATCCGTTGCAGTTGCTTCGAATCTACTCGTTTATATGATGGCTTCGTGGGGGTTGACGTAATTAAAAGAAAAACAAAGCTAATTGAAGTGTTGCCAACATAAAAAAAAACTTAATAATCGTTCCAGAAGTTTGTTGAGTGATGCAATGTGCGTTGAACTGTAAATAATGAATGTTGGTTACGGTTCCTTTGCTAAGATTTAGTTCAATTATTTTTCAGTTGCATGTTGATTTATTTGTTGTAGGTATGATTTTTTAATGTATTACGTAGTCATGTTAGCCAAAATATTGTTATGGGATACCATTGATCTAAACCGTCTATAACCGCCTTTCGAAATTTGTAATTTCGTTTGCAAGACTATTTTTAAAATTATTTCACAAAGTTTTTAAAGCAGGGATATCATGTAATTTATTACAATTTTAAAACAACATATATAACATCATATAGGTTATTTTATATAACTAATTTAAGGTTCTTATGGAAGATAATCAACATAGAATGTTACTTTTAAATTTCATTTGAATCCTATATTAAAGTATTATTTATACTTTTCAGCAAATATAGTCATGTAGAAATAGAGGCATATAAAAGAAATTATAAATGGGAGATATATTCGGGCGGAGGGTTCTATGTACGATGGGGTAGTGTTTGTGCCTTGGTTTTTGGTTAGTTCAGTTGTTGCACCTCTGTTTTCGAATTTAACTCGCTGCGTACATTTTAACTACGTTACTTTACGCGCAAAATGCAGATTTTTTAATTTCTGGATATTTATTATAGCGATGGCACACGACTAGGATTTTGTGACTCGAGTCACTCGAGCTATTTCGCTACCTCACCGAGTCATAATATCTTTTCGAAGTTTTCGAGTCACTTGAGTAAAAATCTCACTCGAGTTGCAAGTATACTATTCGAGTGAAATTTAGTTTAGTATTTAAAAAAGTATGTACCTTTATAATATAAACTAAAAAACACATCAAAAGAGTCTTGACGTGTTGAAAAATAAGCTGCATAGATAAAATAGGGTAGTGAAGTGATATGTAGTGGCCGCAGATTCAACTCGATGCGGCGAGTTGACTTGGTAACTAGAGTGCAGAGACTTGAGTGAGTGTTTGACTAATTCACGCTAGTGACTCGAGGGTTCGAGTTATATCACTACTTTATTATATCCATACAAGAATCCTTTTCTTGTTTAAGACATTTATTTTGGCGCAGTGAAAGGCGCTGTATCTGTTTTATTGATTAAAAAAATAATTAAAAATATTAAGAAATATCTGAGACTGAAATTACCAAGGAATCTATTTACACAATTCCATTGGAATTGTTAGGTAATTTTTTTCCATCTAAAACTATTTTCCAAACCACTTAAAACATTTGCTGAAAATGTTTTGAAAAACATGTCTAACACAATTTATTAGGAACGGATACTGATAATTATTTTATTTAATATAAAGTGAAAAGGATATTTTTCTTTGAATTTAATTATAATGAGATTTTTCTTAAGGAACTTGTTAAAAGAAATTCGATTATTCATTTAATATCTATATAAGGTTTTTATTTATTAATAGTTTATATTCTGAAATCAGCTCAGGTTTTTTGTGATAGAATAAGACGTTTAATTATTTTGTTGATAGATACAGTTGTTATAATAAATAAAATAAAAAATGTATATGAAAAGAAACGTCTTAAAATTTAGAATTTATGATTCGAATTAATATTATAGATTAAATGCCTTAATAATAAACATTGTGTGTTTTGACTTTTTCACTCGAACCAAAAGTAACATTGGAGTGATGTGAAAAATGTCAAACAACGGTTATAACTTACTTTATAGTAAGATGTATATGAGAATTACCTACTTTAATACCATTATTGACATTTAAGTAACGTTAAGTTTTATATTGCTACCACAAATTTTGTAAATTTATAGATTCTAGTCTTTTTAAATTATAACACAATGTAATTTGCCATTTTTTTTAAATAATTAAACGATAAAGAAATTTGCCATTTTTATGATAATTTTTTTTTTTAATAAAACTAAAATTAACGTATAATCCTTATTACTTATTTTTGGATTAAAATGAGCCTTTCTTGTAAATAACTTGTACAGCGGAATGTATCATATTATCTTGGAATGTTTCAAAAACGTTAATAGTATAATTTAAAATTATGTATTTTACTATATCTGCTATTACTTATTGCTATAAAATTATAATGATGTAACAATAATCTACATATTATAATATTACATATCATTATTATTGTGATTAAGTTATATCATCATAATTATGTTATACATGATTATTTTTTTATAAACAAACCATTGAGATTTCTTCTTCTGAAAACAAATCAAGTAGGTACTTATGAAATATCATTCACTGAGTGTCTGTTGCGGTTAATGGTTTTAAGATATAGAAAAAATGTTTTAATATATCCATTTTATTTATATTAAATAAAAATTTGGAGCCTATAACTTCTATAGCATTTAATTCTTAGAAGTCTTCAAAGTCCAATTTTCTACTGTCCATTTATTTTTTATTGTAAATATGTATTAAAAAGTGATTTACTAGTACATTAGTACCAATGTAGGAATTTATCAGTTTTTTTTATATACTTGAATTGAGATTCACTAATTAAGCACGTTTCCATACAATCTAATATTGGTAAAAATATCGGCTTGGCATGAACTTAACGCTACACCTAAGATTGTTTTTTTTTTTTATTTGATTATATTCATAATTTTAAGCCCAGTTAAACAAATGTTGAATAAGATTTAATGTCAACTTTAAGATCTAATGAATGTTTCAAATTTGAAAATTGTATCGGTAATGTAAGCTACGTGAAATTAAATATGGTTTACATCTAATCTAAGCTTTCAAACGATATCTTCTAGAACATTCAATAGTTTTCTGATAAAAAATAATGGTGTTACATTAATTTCTTGTTGATCTAATAAAAGTAGTTAAAACTTATCAGTAACATTAGTAATTTAATTGAAGATACAGATTTTGGATTTTCATTACTGTAAAAGCGATTTAGAAATATAAATAATAAATATATATATAAGTTTGATTTGTTAATTTAAAAGATATATTTTATTTTGGCTCTATTGTATACTCAGCACAGATCAGCTTTGGTAAGCTGTAAAAATACAGGGGTGAACACAACTTTTATCGAAGTTGTATTTTTAAAAGGATTTCTCTACAACGCGTGTAGCATGACGAACTCGAGAAACATTTTTCTCGATTTAAGTGTAAAGTGGGGAATTCACTTGACGGGCATGCCCGAGGGCAAGTCTGCAGACATGCATACCAGCCCTTGTTAAGTATGAGACAGGCATGTCTGGCTAGTGTAGACTTAAGTGAATTTCCCACTTAAGCCGATCGGATGAGCTTATACGTTAATACAATGTGTTAATAGCTCACCCAAATAATTTTGGTAATAGACATGTCATTTCTAAAGTTCGTGATGCTACATGTAGGTACAGGTTACTGAACCTACATGTAGCATCACGAACTACAGGATTATGAAGAGATTAAAATCTTAAATCGATTGGAGATAATTGGCTTATTTATTTACCTGACATAATGTCGATTGTAAATGGTATCAAATATTTTAATCAAATCATCTTGCACTGTAATTATTGTAATTAATTAATCCGTATCCATTAGTATAAAAAATACGAAAGACATAGTCTTTTAGAGATTAATTTGGGTCAATAAAAATGTTACGTAACTTATCTGCATTTTTTTTTAATTTTACACGTTAACCAGGAATCCGCCCGCTTTTTTGTTAAAAACAGAAATATTTATAAATATCTTATTCGGCTTTTTGGCTAAATTGAATCGTAATCTTTTACAATAGAATAGAATAGAACAATAGCAATCGATTTTAAAACAAGGATTAAAGTTAATACACTGTATACACAATTTGCCGTCTAAATTTAACAAAATCATTGATTAAATACAAATCTAACTAAAAAAAACAATTAATTCATTATCATCATTATCACTTCAACCGAGAGACGCCTACTGCTGGGCATAGGCCTCCCCCAAAGATCTCCAAAGCGATCGGTCCTGCGCCTCCCACATCCAGCAGCTTACTGCGACCTTCACCAGATCGTCGGTCCACCTTGTGGGGGGCCTACCAACACTGCGTCTCCCGGTACGCGGTCGCCACTCCAGGACCTTACCGCCCCAACGGCCGTCAGTCCTGCGAGCGATGTGCCCTGCCCACTGCCACTTGAGGTTCGCAATTCTTTGGGCTATGTCGGTGACTTTCGTTCTTCTGCGGATCTCATCATTTCGGATTCGATCTCACAAAGAAACCCCGAGCATAGCCCTTTCCATTGCCCTCTGAGCGACTTTGAGGTTCCTTATGAGGCCCATCGTAAGCGGCCACGTCTCCGTTTCGTATGTCATCACTGGCAACACGCACGAATTGAAAACTTTCATCTTGAGACACTGCGGTAGATGTTCCGAAAATACACTGCGTAGCTTCCCGAACGCTGCCCAGCGAAGTTGGATCCATCGATTTACCTCTGTCTGGAAAGTGGACTTACCTAATCGGACCATTTGTCCCTGGTAAACGTACTCATCGACAGCTTCCAGTGTAGAGCCTCCAACACTCACTGGAGTGGATGCGACATGGGAGTTTGACATTATTTTCGTCTTCTCCATGTTCATTTTCAAACCCACTTGTTGGGAAACTACAGAGATCTTCGAGCATTGTGCTTAGATATCGTATTGCTTTCGAGTTTTGGTCCTGGAGCCGAACTAACATAGTGGCGTTTTCATACAGTGACTGCAGCACTTGGATGTATCGATAGTCTATTTCGCACCTCTGGAGTGACCTAAGCACGGCCCAGGTCTCGACGGAGTCGAAGGCTTTCTCATAGTCCATAAACACCTAGCATAGTGGTAGATTATACTCTTCGGTCTTCTGTATAATCTGCCGCAGCGTATGAATGTAGTCTATGGTACTGTAACCTTTTCGGAAACCGGCTTGTTCAGGAGGCTGGAAGTCGTCAAATCCACGTGCGAGACGATACGTGATGACTGTCGAAAACAGCTTGTACACGTGACTCAGAACTCTAGGGTCTGTAGCCTCAATGACAGGTTTCTGTGATGTTATGTATAACTGTCCATAAAAGCGTTCGATCTCCGCCACAAGCTCAGGACGGGATGTAACGACTCTGCCGTCCTCTGTCTTTAGCTTCGTCAGCAAGCTTTGTTCGAGAGACAGATCTCTAGCGAACACTTTGGAGCCTTTATTCCGCTCAATCACCTCCTTATTACATTGAGTAA